AAAAATAATAATTTTTAATAAATATATTGTAAAATGTATTAAATAGTAGAGTATTTACATAAGTATTCTATTACCTCTATTCAACTTTATTTGACTTAATTTAATTTTTTAACTTTTTTAAATAAGAACTTCTAATGAAAATATAACATAGAATTGAAAATTTTTTTTAACCGAATGAAACCAGTCAACAAAATCTAATTTTTAAATGTCATTTATATACCTTGTTATATTTTTATCAAAAATTACTATTTGAAAGCTCAAAAAGTTAAATTAGAACAATCAAATTAATAATTTTATTAAGACGATTTTCGGTAATTTTTATTACTTGAACTTCACTTTTATTATACAATTTATATTAAAATTGAGTCAATACAAATTAATAAGGAAAATGATTAAGAGACAAATTTTTTATGAGTTAAATATCATTTACACAAAAATCTTACGCAAAAGGGGATGCAGAAAGTCAGTCCTGCCTTTTTGTTTCCCATACACAAAATTCTTAAATAAAATTTTAATTATTTATCTTTTCATCATAAATTATTAAAATTTATTTATTATTTATTTTATTTTTTATCTAAAAAATTATAATAAATCTTAACAATTTATATTAGAGAAATAAATAAAAATTTTATTTAAATGATGTATGTAACAGTTTATATATGTAAGTGGATTCTAACTAATTTTTTTATTCAGCTTTTTCATATAAACTTATATTTTATTTAATGATTGATTCTTTCTATTTTATTAAAATTTATAATATTATATATATTTATTTATTTAATAAAATATAAAAATTAGAAATGAAAATAGTCAAAAATTTATCCTTATATCATTACCCGGCCCAATTAATAGGCATGAAAAGGTGAAGGTAAATATTAGAGAATTGTAATATATATTAGAGAGAATATAATCACTTTTATTTAAAAATAAATTGATTAGCATAGATATTAACGAAAACTAACAGGAAGATGTTAGAGATGAGAATATGTATACATACCTTTCCAAATATATATAAGTTTAATTTTCTTTTCAATGCTTCAGGCTGAGAGGGAAAGAGCGGAGGAGAGTTGTAGAGTTTGCAGAGAGGATGAGGTTCTTCGGGCCTTAGGCAGAGAGCGGGAGAGACTCAGCAATTAGCACGTTGATAGTTTGCAGAAGAGAAGGATCTGGGCAGTGGAAATCTGATTGTTTTGGTCAAGCGGGTGGTATATATTGACTAAACTATAAATAAACATGAGGAATGCTAGCTGCACTCGCCTTTCTCCAGCACTCTCCAACACTCCCTCATCTAAAATAGCCACGTGAACTTTTTCGGTGGAAACTTTGAATTGCGAGCCAAAGTTTGTTACGTGGACATTTTAGATGAGAGAGTGTTGGAGAGTGCTGGAAAAAGGCGAGTGGAGCTAGCATTCCTCAAATAAACATTTTTAAATAAGAGAAAAAATGAAAATCATGTTTGGATTAGTTTGTAAGTGTTTTAGTTTTTTTATATTATTTATATTTTATAAATTTAAATTTTTTTCTTAAAAATTTATATTTTTTTATTAATATTTTTTTGATGAGTTTAGTAATTATACTTTTATTGATTTTGTAATTGAGACACAACAGAACTATAAAATAAATAAA